GTATACAATATACATGCATACATGTCGTTAATTATCACTTATATACGTATATAAATATATTTAGTAAAATGTTATATGTATATAAATATTTTAATAAAATTTTTGTTAATAAGAATAGAGTTTCAAGTTTTAACAGACTCAATTTCGGTGATGAAAATTTACTAGGACAAATTGAAAAATAAGAATATATGTTGATAAACGCTAATAAATCGGTGGAATTTATTACATACTTTTTTCTTCTAGCAGTAATATATATATATATATATATATATATAATATATATACATATATATATATATTAAATATGTATATATATATGTATACATATATATATTTTTACAATTAACGCCATTAACGCCAAACATTCGGTAGAATTTATAAAATACTGTAAAATTATGGTCTATTACCGACATATATATATATATATATATATATATATAATATTATATATATATATACATACATACATAGCTGCTAGCTGTTGGTCAATTGTTTTTTGCTGTTGATTTTTGGCGTTTTTTCGAGTCGTTTTTCAGTATTTTCGGTTGACTTCTGGACGGACTATTCACTTTAGTTTCAGAGAATTCAATTTTTCGGTTAATATCGATATTATAGGGGTTTTTGTTAATTTTTTAAGTTGAATTAATTTTCATTTTTTGATATATTCGTTTTAAGCTGCGTTGTACAATATTCAGGTTGTTAGTGATTGGACAATTGCTAGCATGCCGAATGCTAATGATAGAGTGTGCACTTGTTGTAAAAATGAAATTAAAAGAACTGAAAAAGAATTACAATGCAGTTCATGCAAATTTCATGTGCACACAAAGTGTGTAAACATATCTGATTCTTATTTACCTGTGTTTAAAATGAAACATGTGAAATTTCATTGCGATGGCTGTCTGGAAATTTTCGAAAATTTTGACAATGCTTTAGTAAATGTTGATAGACATTTTGTAAAATCTGCAGTTGAAATTGCTGCTATTCGTGAATCAAACAAACAGCTCATTTCTGAAGTAAATGAAATGAAACAATTGTTGAATAATTTTGGAAAAGATAGTGTGGCCGTCGGTCCTGAGTTTGCTAAAGAAATGGATATAATGAAAAAAGAGTTGAAGGTTAGCTTTGCTGATGTTGTTAAAGGTGAATTTAAAAATGAAATAAAATCCGTCAATACTGAGGTCATGAATGTAAGTAGAAAATTAGATGAGGAGAGTGAGCGGAAAAAGAGAGAAAATATATTAGTATTTGGTCTTAAGGAACAAGGTACAATAATTGAGGAAAAAAATGTTTTATTAAAAATATGTAAAGAATTGTCATGTGATTTAATTGAAAATACTAATGATTTCAAAATAAGTAGACTGGGAATAAAAGGTGAGTCACCACGGCCTATGTTGGTTGCTGTCAGAAATAGCAATACCAAAACTGCCATCATGAAAAATTTGTTCAAAATCAAATCATTTGATTCTGATTTGAATAAAATTATAATTAGACATGATTTGACAAATGATTGTACTATGACCCATACAGCTAACGATTTTGTTGAATTTTTCATTAAAAAAATTGAAGGGATAAAAAACAATATATCTGTAGCTGGAGAGCCTACTATAAAGTGTAGGTCTAATGTTGACATAAAATTTTGTGAATTTTCGCGGGTATCGCAGTCTGAAGTTAGAACCTTTGTAATTAGTTCTCCGTCAACCTCTTGTATGATTTATTGTATGCTTGCTAATATTTTTAAACAATATATAGATTATTTTTTGCCCTATTTTACGGAATTAATTAATTTGTGTCTGTCAACAGGCACATTTCCAGCTATTTATAGGCATGCAATTAATATTCCTCTTCAGAAGCATGCGTCTTTAGACATGAATGAACTTAAAAGTTTTCGACCTGTCTCAAATTTAACTTTTATTTCGAAGGTTTTGGAAAGAATTGTTCATATTTAAATCTAAAGTATTTAAATGATAATAACTTTTTTCCAAATAATCAATCTGGTTTCAGACGCTTTCATTCGACGGAGACGGCCTTGTTACAGGTATTGTCGGAACTTTTTGAGGCTTCTGATCGCAATCAGGTCTCTCTTCTGACTCTACTTGATATGAGTGCCGCATTTGACTGTGTGAATCATGATACACTGTTACGTCGATTATGTTTAAGTTACGGTGTCTGTGACTTAGCTTTGGAATTTTTCAAATCTTATTTGTGCAAACGTACCCAGCAGGTTTATTATAATAATTCTTGGTCAAATACAGTTGATGTTTTGTCTGGGGTTCCCCAGGGGTCTGTCTTAGGCCCGCTTCTTTTTACGTTATATACAGCCGATATTATGTATCTCATTGATGAATTTTCTTTAAAGGGTTTTGCTTATGCAGATGATGTTCAGATAATTGCAAGTGCGGCGACTGGGGAGTTTGATTTTCTGATTGAAAGAATGTTGGATTGTTTGGGTGCATTGGATAGGTGGATGGGTTTGAATGGTATAAAATTGAATCGGGAAAAAACTCAGCTGGTACCAGTTGGAACTTGGCAGCAAACCTCTAGGATTAACGTTGATTTTGTGAAAATAAGTGACATGATTATTGATTTTGGAAAAATGGCTACAGTTTTGGGTTTTAAAATAGATAAAAATCTATGTATGGGTGAACATATAAAGGTTTTGGTAAAATCTTGTTCATTTCAATTGCGGCAATTGTATCGAATTAAAAAGAGTTTGAACAGATCAACCATGGTTACTCTGATTCATTCGTTCATACATTCTAGATTGGACTATTGTAATAGTTTGTTTTATGATGTTTCGAAACATGAGATTGCTAAGTTGCAGATGGTTCAGAATAGAGCTGCAAGAATTGTTGTTGGTGCTAGTCGTGTTGAACATATTAACCCAATTCTGTCGGAATTGCATTGGTTGCCGGTCAGCAAAAGAATTGTTTTTAAAGTCTGTGTTTTGGTTTACAGATGCTTAAACGGATTGGCTCCGCAATATCTGTCCGAAATGTTGATTGACAGATCATCGATTTCTTTAAAAACTGGCCTACGATCAGATCGGGGAAACTTGTTAGTGGTCCCGGTTACTAAATTAAAGATTGCATCACGTAGTTTTGCAGTTTATGGACCAAGGCATTGGAATGAACTTCCATATTTTTTGCGCCGGTCTGGTCTGACACTTCCCCAGTTCAAGAGTCAATTGAAGACATATCTTTTTTCCTTTTAGAAAATTGCCATAGTTGTAAAGCGCCTATGAGAATGTTTTTAATAGGCGCTATATAAATGATCATATAATTATAATAATAATATATATATATATAAATTCTTGTTAGTCTTTTCAATTTTCTATCCAAGTTCATCATGAAACTTTAATGAAACTTTTTCCAGAAAATTCTAGTATGGAAAATTGAAAAAACAAACTTTAAATTGATTAACGGAACGCCAACAATTCGGTATAAGTCATACAATATATATATACATAATATATTGAGTGTACATGTGTGTTACATTCCACATAATATTAAATATGTACACGCAGAGTATAATAGTATCTGTACACTTCTGTACAATCGATTGTGACTGCGGCTGAATATATTGAGAAATGGAAACGTCTGCACGCTGAACGATTGTGTGTGGTTGTATTATTGTGTGTAGTTGTGTGTGGTTGTATATACTTGTGTGTAGTTGTGTGTGGTTGTATATACTTGTGTGTAGTTGTGTGTGGTTGTATATACTTGTGTGTAGCTGTGTGTGGTTGTGCGCGGTTGTGTGAGGTTGTGTATAGTTGTGTGCGGTTGTGTGTGGAGTAAGAGCATTACACTGCATATAGATTTTTGCATTAGGAACACTATATTTTATTATGCTTATTAATCGTGAAATGTTTCAAAAAGTTTTCTCTGATATAAAGTTCGAAAGCTTACGATCACAACATACTTACATGCATTTTTTATGGATATAACGAACGCAAATATAACGACTTTTCGATAAAAAATTGATAAAAAAATTCGTTATATTTTTTCGTCGTATTTTAGCGTACTTTGAAAAAATTTTGATTTTTTGAAGATTATAATTGAGCAGATGACAGTTGAAAGAATTGCAATTTGAAAGATAAAGCAGGCTATGAATTTGACAGACCAACACATTATTCAAAAATAAAGTAGATCAGTTCCTCTTTGATAGATAGATTTGATGGATTGATGGAAACGTGAGGTGCTAGTTATTGACTGGAGATTAAGCAACGGATTTTTCTTAACCATTAATTTTTCAATATTATAATATATATATATATGTATATATATATATATATTTATAGCGGTGCACGCTGATGTTTGAGCTTGCATGTGATATAACGTTCTTTTACCTTTAATATATATTTCTATATATGTATGCATATATATATATATACATATATATATATATACATAATACATATATGTACATAATACTTATATATATATGTATATACAAATAAACTTATATATATATATATATACAAATAGATTTATCTCGTCATGTAAATCACGTGTGATGATGCATGATGCTTTAACAGTTTTCCGTTTTTACGAATAAAAGTTAAGCACCTTTATCTGATCCTCATTCCTCAATTTTTGTCACACAATCATTTGTTAAATTATTTAATTTTACTAGATTCAATTATTTTTGTAACGTTAAATTATCTGAAGAGCATTGAAAATGAAGAAAAGGTTGCATGCTTATTTGTGTCTGAACTGCTGATGTTGTCACAAACCATCAACATCGACCAACAACACATGCTCAAAAATTGTTAAAAAAAATTTTTTAGACCAACGTTCATTTTAGTGAAAGTATTTTGAATTGTTCGTTTTAAACTGAAAAATACAAGTTTATTCAGCTGTTGATGAAGTTTTAACATTTTAAAATATTTCATGTTATTAAATATATTATTTATGTTAAAAACAGGTTTTTTAGAAATAAGTTCCAATTTATTTTCCATGGAATTATGAAATCAGTTTTTATGTATTTGAAGAATTGAAGAAATGTGCCAATTGTTAATAAGTTGTTTGGGCTTTTTGTTTGTGGTGATCTCATTTGTGGCTTGCATGGGGGCATTCGTTCTGCCCTACTGGGTGTACTGCCCTTCAGGCTGCTCAGGAGTGACGAATGGAGGATCGTTTTTGTACGAAGGCATGTTAGTCAGAATGACTGATCAGAAATATTGGACATACTTCTGGGAGGATGATTTCAAAATGGAGCAAGATCTGCCAGGTTAATTTCCCTTTAAAAACGTAAATCTTTTTATGGTTTTGCTTGGTAGATCTGTTTAAACAAATGTTTTGGACAGTGTTTCAATAATTTAATAACAGCACATATTTTAAACCATAAAATACATTCAGCCGAATGATTTCTAATTAACGCAAGCAATTCAGATGTTTCTTATATATAACAAATAATTTGTTAAATGCCTTTGAACAACGATAACAAATTAGAATATAAGCACGCTCATATTAAATTACATTTATTAATAAATATCTGAGTTGAAATGCTCTTTGTTGGAACTTTGCAGAGTAGAAATTTTGTTAAACGAAACAAATTGAAACTATTGCAAACGATTTGAATATGTTAGAGGACTTGCACGCAATTTAACAAATTGGCGATTTTGCAACGATAGTTTAATTTTAACGGCATAATTAATATCTGTCCAAACATGGAAAAGGATGAATCATGATCTGTTTAATTTAATGGCCAAAAACTTTCTTAAAATGTTTTGGGGCTATGGCTAATGAATCTGTTAGACAATAAAATTAAACCTTTTTCGATATAGTTAGTCCTTTGCGTGTAGTTGTGGATAAAAATTGTTTATTGACATCTCGGTCCGATTCCGACTGTTGATGTGAATGAAAGCAAAATTCTGAAAATTAGTAAAAAATACAGAAAAACGTTGATATATATATAAAGAAAAGACAAAATGGGTTAATGTTTTGATTATGAAGAGTTCTGTATATGTACAAAAACAAAATATTTACAGGAGTGAGAATATTTGGCTCAAAAGTTTTAAATGATAAAATTGACAAAGTAGGAGATTTGACAAAAAAGCGGAATGTCCAAGTTTTACTGATTCAGGCGAAAGTGGAAAATCACTTCCGAAATTTTCTTTGTTCCAAAATTGTAAATATGATATTGAACTCTTTCTCAAAAACGTATTTATTGGATTGTTTGCAGAAGCACTTTTCTAAAAAAAACATGTCAGACCCTTCACAAATTTGTTGACTGGTTTTGTCACCTGTGCTTCAGTTCGGGTTCTTTTTCAATGTTGTAAGTTGGAACATGCTGATTTTTTTTCTAGTGCTTAAAAACAAGGCAAAAATAATAATGATTTGGACAGTTACAGGCCGGTTTCAAACCACATCACTCTACAGAAATGGCACCTGTAAATCCTTTTTTTAATGAAAACATGGATGCTTAGTGTTCATTGCAACTAGCGTTTTTAGATATGAGTGCAGCCCTTGACTGTGTAGATCATGATATTTTCTTAAAACGATTAACTTGTAAATTTGTTTTATCAATCAATTAATCAATCAATCAATCAATAAGTTTATAAAGCGCTATTTTCAAGATGTTCAACAGCGCTCCTCAGTGGATTTTGCAAACAGATGGGTCTTGAGATTCGCTCTGAACTTTTTAAGTGATGGAAAAGTAGTCAGAGAAGGAGGTAGAGAGTTCCAGAAAAAAGGGTCAGAAAAAGCAAATGCAGATTTAGCAAAAGACTGTTAAACACGAATTAAGAAGAAGTGAGAACAAAAAGACTATTGTAAACCGGGGCGTTTATGTTTCAATTAATATATCTGATAAGTATTTAGGAAATAATTTAGATGGAGACTTGCAAATTTTAAAAATTATTCTATATTTTACAGGTAGCTAGTGCAAGAGAACAAGATATGGAGATATATAAGAAAAAAGTGGCACGAGTAACTAGACGAACAGCAGAGTTAAAAGATTTACTTAAAGGATGAGTGTAGACTCAGGAAGAACCTAGTAGAGCCTAACGAAATAACAAGAAGGAGAAGAGTAAGATCGTCAAAAAAGGCAAAAGTTTTTTTATTTTACACAGATGAAAGTAAGAACTTCTAGCAACACTAATAATCTGAGAATAAAGAGAAATACTATAATCAAAGATAAAGCCTAGACTCCAAAACTTGTGAAAAACATCAAGTGTTTTAGAAATCAGTTATGATAATATAAAAAATAGTAATAAAGTGTTTAGATTTACTAAAACAAATTAATTCAAATTTAGAAAGATTAAGTTTAAGACACATAGAGTCTCACCAAGCGATAATTGAAGAAAGACATTGAGATAGATTAGAAAGAACATTTTTGAGATTAGATGAAAGAAAAGAAGTATAAATATAAAGGCCATCAGCATATAGTTGACTAGTAAAAGAAAATTTATTATTAATACGAGGTAGTTCAGAAGTACAGAGTATAAATAGAAGAGGTCCAAGGATAAAATTTGAGGTACCTCGAAAGTAAAAGTAGAGTTAGAAGTAGAATTATTTAGAACAACGATTACAGAGATAAGAAGAAAACCAAGATAGACAAGAATCAGCAGCCTCAAAAGAATAGTATGATCAACAGTATCAAAAGCAGAGGAAAAGTTAAGAGCAAAAAGAAAATTACTATTGTTACTAGAGAGAAAGATATCATTATGAATTTTGAGTAAAAAAAGTTTCAGTACTTTGAGCAGGTCTGGAACCAGATTGAGATACAGGTAGCAAGGAGTCAGAGTATAAATAAAATGACAATTGATTATAAACTACTTTTTCTATTATTTTAGAAATGAATGTAATATTAATAACATGTTTATAATTAGATAAAAATAAGGAAGATTTTATCTAGCGTTGTTCACGTAGGGAGGGGTTCAGATCATATTTATCGTATCGTTCACAGGAGGTCTCACTTACGAAGAACTTTTCAACTGTACAAATATTTTCATCAAAGGTACCTCAAGGTTCTGCTATGCGCTGTTTTTGTTTTCGATGTATATTTTAGATCGGCCTTGTTTATGTGGTGTGGATGATATAAATAATTTTATCAGAAATACTAGTCGAATGCTTAGCGGAGATTAGTAATTGAATGTCAAAAAATTGATTGCGGGTCCATAATTGCATAAACTTGACAACTGCTTTCGAGAAGAGTGCGGACTTAGTTGTTTCAGACGACACAAATATAAAATTTGTTTTGAATGCAAGGAATCTGGATGTTGTGCTAGATTCTAATATGACGATGAATGATCACATAAAATTTCTTACAGGTTCCTGCACTGTACACCTTACGTAAACTGAAAATTATTAGAAAATAACTAGACAAAAAATAATCTGTGTGCTTTGTGCATGCATTTATTCAAGTATTTTTAGTTATTCAATCGCTGTGATTTAGTCGATTCGGAATCGTGTGGCAAAATGGTTTTTGGTGCTGCAAATTTAGATCATGTTACCTCCAGTTCCACTGGCCAAAAATAGAAAAAGAGATATCAGTTGTGTTTGACTGGTTGTGCAGGCATATCCATAACTGATGACTAAACGTTCGCAAAAATAACCACCTTGGGCCTGTCCAACTTCGACTTAAGAACTCGGATCTCATGACGGTTTCAACCACGAAGCTGAAGATTGGAAAAAACATTTTCAACTGTTCAACTTTTATCGTTTCATCAGAGAAAGCTTGGTTCAAGTTTATCTGTTTTTAGAAAATTACTGAAATCTTATCTTAATTTTTTTCTTCATTGTTGTTTTTCTTTATTGTTTCTTGGTTTTGTTATGTTGTCATGACCTTGTTGTTGCCTATATTTTATTTCATATGGTGACACTGGTTAACTTAAAAAATGGTTTGCACGGAAAATACAAAATAGAAGTTTAAAATATTGAGGTCATCATGTATTGGCTATGACTTGGTTCGAATGCAAAAAATATTATCGTCTATCAACTGCATTCAGTGTAATGCGCCTAACACGTCTACTGTTCCATTTAAAAGTTGAATGTGTGTCATTTGAAACTATGAGAACTAATTGTGAGAAAAAAAAAATGATAAGCTGCTTCCTGCTTCAATATAGCAAAAAAAATTAAAATTAACTGAAACTAACAAATAAATCTTCAATATAACGAAATAACTATTTCGAAATAAAAGAAACAACTTTAATTTTTCATCACCGTGTAAAATCATTATCAACTGTATTACGGTAACGATTTATTCTTTTCGGTCCTTAGATACGTACTAATATTATTAATGTACAATTATCAATAAATAATAATGTTATTCATAGGGTTAATAACATAAGATTTTTATGTGTAATTATTTATTGTAACTTATCTTGGTCAGATCATATACAATTTATATCTAAAAAAATTTCAAAAAATTTAGGGTTGATCTATCGACTTAGGTCTAAATTTCCTAATTATATTTTGCTTACATTATATAGTTCTATTATTTTGCCATACTTTACCTATTGTAATCCTATTTGGGGTTATACTACTAAATCTAATCTGCATGTCTTAAATATTTGTCAAAAATATTTCATGCATATTTTATTTAATTTAAATAGTTTTGAACTTATAAATAATAATTATAATGGATCTAATATCATAAAAGTTAATGATTTATATACTATAAATTTGTTACTGTATTTTTATAAATTGCATAGATTAAATCAATGTTCTTCTTTATATGGTCAAGTGAATTATTTAACCAACACTCACTCGATTGTTCTCAGAAACAAGCCTGATTTTTATTTATCTAAACTATGCAGAAATTGTTTTTATAATTCTGTTTTTCCTGTCTCTATTCGTCTATGGGATTCCTTACTTGCATACGTTAAAAATATTACTTCCCTCAGCTTTTTTAAAAGAAGTATTCTTGTATTAATTAGAACTAATTACTTCAAGTCTCTCATTCAAATTCATTAGCTTCATTTTGTTTCAATTTATTTATTAATTTTATGATTTAAACGTATTATTAAAATTTATTATTACATATTTCTGTTAACCTTGGTTAGGGTGGTCCTACAGGTTTAGGCTTTATATATCCTAGTGATTTGGTTTACTAAGTAGATTGATAGATAATTTGATTTTGTAAATTTAAATTTTGTTTCTGTTATTTGAGTTTTTATTAGTCGTTCTGTTCAATCTGCAATGTGTCAGGTTGAATGCATCAATTATTCCTATTGTTCATGTTCTTGCAATATCTTGATAGCGTGGCTCAACAAGTGAAAACTTAGGGTCTCCCTGGTAACGTATTTTACTAAATAAAAGTTTTTTTGAATTGAATTGATTTGCTAATTTATTTGAAAGTTTCCTAATATTTAAAAAACTAGTCTCCATCCTACGTACGCATAGCTTATGTTTCTTAAAACATTTACAAATACATATATGTGGCATTAAATTTAACTCATTCAACTTTTTAACTTTGAAATGTTATTGTTGGATTTTTAAACCAATTTTAAATTGAATTTAATAAGAACAAGAACAAAATTTCAACTCCATGCAGATTGGTACAAAGCATCTCAGGCACTTTACACGTTCGGGTTCGTCATTTTGTTGTCCACGGTGCTGCTCGCATTCGTTCACGTCCTCTGCAGGTGTTGCTGTCAAAAAGCGTTCTCTTTATCAACTGTCATCGGCTCTCTCATATTTTCTGCCCGTAAGTTCTCTGCTTGTGCATGAAAATTGAAAAATATCCTTCAAGATATGAGACTGGTTGTTTAAAATATTTCAACGAAGTGATTTTTTAGCAAAATTTTAATTTTTTGTTTGAGAATCAATTGAATAAAAAAAGGACTGGAAAACTGAAAAAGAAATTTTGCAAGTTTGACTAATTCAAAATAATAATAATGTCATTTTATATAGCGCCATGGCAAGCTTCACAGGCGTATTATTATTACATACATGCAGTGTAGAAATACACGTGAATCAACGCATTAGAAACAGGTCATTGCATCAACAATGTCGGGCACCTTAACCATTATACCATCGAGTCGCTCTTATAAATAAACATGAAAAATTGTGCACTATGCGTCAAGCAGCAATCAGCATAGGTTATGTTGTCGACGTATTAATATTAAATAGTTGACAGAAATTTTCTGTTTCTTTACTGAACGTATTTGATATGTGATTGGACTCTCAAGTTACAATGATGCTAAAATTAATAACAATAACTTTTTTCTATTTATTTGTCACATGAAACAACAACACACGATTACAGTGATCTTAATAGGAGCAGCAGTTGGAGTATTCATAGGCTTTCAATACAAAGAAAACAACGTGCAGATATTGGGCGAGAGCAGTGCGAGGCATTTCTATTACGCATTGTATGTGGCCATCGGTGGTTTGCTCTCTGCTTTTCTTTCTTCCATACTCTTCCTTGCCGACGGATGCCAAAACCAAGTACCATACGATGGCTACCAGACCGCCAGGATGATTTAATGTTCTATGTGATGTCTTAGGTGTATGAATGATTAGATCAACGTTCGAAAACTTTGATATCGCTATTTACAATTGAGTGGAATTTTTACGTAGTTTGACCTTTTTTTCTATTATAGAAATTTGTTCCTATTAACATTTCTATTATCGTGTTTCATGAAATTGAGAATTTGAAATTCTTCGAAGCCCGATCACAAACTGTCTATTTATTTTATACGTTGTTTTGGCAAAGCGATTATAGAAATATATTTGACTGAAAACGGATCTGTATGCATCTCTTTCTAACTATTGTACTGAAATTGTTAAATAGAATGTCAACATTTTCTAATTTTTTTTTTGAAAAATATTTAATTATTTATTAATGTAATTTTTACGATTTTAAAATTAGAAATATCTTACGCGTTGTTAATAATATAATAATAATAATAATAGTAATAATAAATAAACTGATAGTAATAATTATGATGAGTTTCTTTTCTAATATTTAATAAATAAATAATTTAATTAATAAATAATTTAATTAAATAAAATCTTTTAAAAAATAAATAAAAATTATTAATAAATTATAAAATGTGAAAATTATAAAATTTGATGAATAAATGTTCAAGGAAACTAAAGAATGACACCAGACCCCAAAAAGCGCACAGAAAATATGCACGGTGCGTTTGAGTTCCAGTATAGGTCTATCTAAGTGTAAGTATATAAGTGGCAAAAATCAATACATTTTTTTTAATTTTTCGATTGATATTTTTCAATTTCAATTATATCATTTAAAAAATACTAAAATAAAACTGTTGAAATATTTTTAAAAGTAGCAAAGTAAAAAAGTTTTTAAATAATGATCCCTCAAAATTGCTCGCTTTATAACTTTTTATACACTCGTCCAAGTGGAACGAATCACATTTTTTATGACCTGCAGATAAAAAGGCTAGAAAATGTTGTTTTTTACGTCATTGAAGGTGGAGGCGTTACATTTTTCACATCACTGTCTTCATTTTAATAATCTTCATGAGAAAAATTTAGTTTGAAAAACATGACCCAATAGTTTGCTAATAATCACACGTTGGAAAATTATGTGGTTTTTGTACGAGACATCAATGGTTAACGGTCGATCGGAAAAGTACAGTGTACACGGATTTGCATAATATTTCGGCATGTTTAGTTTTTTTTTGAGACCGTTATCTTTGACAGGCCTCTGATTCCGACGCTGATCATGCGGTTTCGTGTTATTCCGATTGGCTGGCAACACGAAGTTTTTTTTAGTTACAACCACATCTGCGACATTTTGCCACTGGTTGTATACTGGGGATGATTGAGATCCATTTAGTCCATGCTATTCTTGAGAGGTTTAAATGTCAACAAAGGCATAACTCTTGAAATAAAACTACGTACAAAGTTTTAATTTATCATATCATTTTTGTCAATTTTATGTAAAAATTTTTAAAATTAGTAAACGTTGACAATTTTGTAGGAAAATATCGTTAAATTGAATTTTTATTGTGTGTGCATGTGTTGTGTACTGTACATGTTTTGTTTTATTTGTGTGCGTGTGGTGTGTGAGTGTAGAGTTCATTTAATTTAATTATTTATTAATCATTTTATTTCATTAATTAGCGTAATAATTCAGCTTATTTAGTTATTTTGTCTGGTGTCAGGGGAATTGTAACGATCAGAGACCATTATCATTGACAGGCTTTCCCTTGATTTTTGCGTTATTAATAGTTTTTATCATTAAAATTAAAATCAAAATTAGGTCTGCTTAATCAAAAATTCAAAGGATAAGAACCAAATGTAATTCTTGGAGTCGGCGGCATATTGTTTGGCACGCACGCACAGCACACACTTTTTTTTCATTATTCTTTAAAAAATCAGGATCCGACAGACGTAGAAACTGTTACAGAAAGCAATCAATCAATCTTCGTTTAGCGTCCGGAGACCCAGTTTCCCGAGGTAGGACGTTACAGCATGCAAGGCAGTAGTATAAAATGGCAACGAAAAGAATAAATGATTGAATAAATAAATAACGGAGAAAAAAAATGTTTAAACATGAAAATTATAGAATATAAAATGAAGTAATGGTATATAAGGGCAAATGAATAAAGTAATTTGTTTATGGACTAGATAATAACTTGGTGAGTTAGTAAGGTGATAAGTAAAAAGAAAACTAGATTGTGTAAATAATAAAGTTTTATTGAGTGCTAATATGTTGGAGGTGCCTTGTGATGAAGGTCTTTTCCTGATATGCTGATTGGGTGCCGACTTGATAATTATGCTTGCGTTGACGAAGGTTGAGTTTTGTAGTTTTGATTGGTGGGAGTAGAGGATGGATGACGTGGTTGTTGTTATTTTCAATTTTTTGGAACAGTCTTGAATTGAGTGTGTTGAATATCTCAGCGACGGTAGGATATGATGCAGGCAGATAATTGAAGCGCATTAGTTTTTTGAGAGAGATTGTAGCTGCTGAAGTTGTTGTTGTGTAGCAAAACCAGACCAGGAGGGAGCTGCATATTTGATGCGTGAGATGATGAGTGATTCGGTGATGTCAAATAATTTAATGCCTCTGAGACCATGTGAGCGGAGTGTTTTGAGTGTGTGAAATGTTTGAAAACGTTTTGTGGGGATGTGATTGATATGAGGTGCTATATTAAGTGTGGAGGTGAATGGGATGCCTAATATTTTTAATTGATTTGTTTGATTGATGGGTGTTCTGGTATTTTCTTACGGCTATTGTGAATGATGAGTTCAAATGATTTATTGAGATTAAGTGACAGATTGCATTGTTTTGACCATGAAGTTAATGAGTCGAGTTCGGATTGGATGGTGTTTGAGTTAGATGATGGGATGATAAGGTAGGTGTCGTCAGCATACTTGATGATTTGATTGATTAGAGCTATGAATAGTTTTGAGAGTAGAAGCAATAATGATAAAGGTAGATGGTCCAAGGACAGAACCTTGAACTAGGCTAGAGTTAATAAGTAGAGTAGATGAAAAAGTAGAGCTAAAGAAAGTAGAATGACTCCTATTAGAAAGAAAATTTATTATAATATTGTAAATGTTGTCATGTAGAGGAAGAGAGGCCAACTTATTTGAAAGTGAGAAGTGATTGAAAGTGTCAAAAAATTTAGAAAAGTCGAGAGCAATAAGATGAATATAATTATTATTTTTAAGGAAAGATGTTATTGTGGAAGTAAGAGAGATGATGGCGGATGTAGATGAGCCTGTAGGGCGAAATGCGAACTGGTCTTGTAATAGTGGTTTGATGGATGGATTGTTGAAGCATGGAGAGATGAATGACCTAACGATGAATTTTTCTAGAATACGTGAAAGTATGGGGGTGATAGACGTTGGACGATAATCTATTGGTGATGATGGATGTTTTGTTTTGAGAATTGGATGAGTTGAGCTGGATTTCCATTGTGATGGGATGAATGAATGCATTAAGCAGTGATTGTAGTGCAAACTTAAGGTTTTTGAGATGACATTATAGACACAGTGGCGTATGCAGGGGCTTTTGTTTATTATACATTCAACATTTTCTTCCATAACGGAAGAAAATGTTGAATGTATAATAAACAAAAAGAATATAATAATACATTACAAAACGGAAGAAACCAATATTACAAGAAATTTCAACTCATAGCGATTGAATAAAAATTATTTTGTCAAAAATTCTAAAATTATTACGGATCATTTTTATTCCAAATATAAGACCAAGGAGGCAAAAAAATCAAATAAAAAATGAGCCGATCGTTGCACTGTTATACATACATCAAACTTTTTTCGCATTTAAATCGTAATTTTGCTTAAATGATTCTTAAAATAGTCTTAGCGCGTGGCTCATGAGACATCATTTTATTGGTTGGGGTAGTATAATAAACAAACGCTGACGTCAACCAAACTTAGAGTCATTTTTATTTAGTCTTCCACAAAAAAATAGTTCTTAAATTTAACACGCCCATAAGAGCCATTTATACTGTCAAGTAGCGAAAGTCACTTGTCAAACTTATTTTCGAGCTTAAGCTGAATAGAAATAAAAGTAATAGATTAAATTGCTAAATTTTATTTGCACCTAGGGGATTTTTTTTTAAATGTTCACTAATTTATTACCGTTGTTTGGTAAGCATAATAAATTTTCAGTTCTGCTTTAAGGTACTCATCAAAAGTATCAAAAGTTTAGTTCCCCGGTGCTGATGGTGTTCTTGAATGATTTTATGAACGTATAAAACATCCTTGATAAACGAATATCAAAATAAGACTCAATCATTTTATTTATTTTTATAGATTAAAATCATATTAAAATATTTTTATTATATTTTATGCGTAGTTTTAATCAAAATTAAAAATTGTAAAGCTCTATCATAAAAATCAATTTAAAACAAAGTTTTTGGATAACTAAACAAATTATTATAAATCGAAATCCAAAAATAATATTCTTTACAGCAAACCCGGAATATAACAATTGAACCATCTCACAGCATTATATGACTTTTTTTGTTGCTTTTTATCGATGGTCACCAACCCATCTTAATGAACACTCCCAAGCTGAAGAACGAAAGAACGACTTGCACGTACGTGAACGAAACTTCGTCCTCGATCATTATGCTCGCTACCGCCAACAAAATTACAAACAAAGCGTATGAAAATGACATTTTTGGATCAATGTCTTTTGAAACGACATCCCATATAGTTTTTCTTTGTTCAGTTGGTTCGGTATGAACAATCGTTGCCACCTTCTGATCTAATGTGTCGTGTTGTTTTGAAGATATGTCATCACAGGAGCGAGCGAAACTACACGGAGGATCGGCGTAATTGCTGGATGCCGCAGGCGAATGAATGGAGGACAGATTGTCGAAGGAGTGGTGCAATGGTTGTTCTGGCGAAGGAAATGTCTGCTGCTGTTGCTGCTGGTTATCCTGGACGTGTTGTGATTGTTGCTGAGGTTGGCTTTCAAAGTACTGATGATAGTGATCAAATTCGTCGTAATGGTTGTGATATGTTTGTGGCTCTGGTTGGTGTTCATTTTTTGAAAAATGTTGATGTTCTTGGGGATGTTGCTGATCATTTCCAAGGAAGGAGCTTGGTTGTTCACAAGAGTTTTCGTGTTCAAGCAACACAAAATCATCGTTTATGTTTGTCATTTCAAAATCAGTTGTCGATATAAAGTTCTGTGTGTGCGTATATATATATATATATATATATATATATATATATATATATATATATATATATATTATATTGGATTAAAACTGTCAGAAATGCAATTATTGATGAAAATCACAGCATGCTCGGCGTTAGTTAACTTCCTATTTAACTTTTCGAATTTTCTAGCAGTTGATCGTAAATCAGTGATCATCAAAAATATGAACATATATATAAATATATATATATGTGTTATTGTCACTGTTTTTGTAATAATTATTATGATGATTATTGTTAGTATTGGTAGTAGTAGTATTACCTTTTTACATCACGCTTTTTTATAAATCAATACCGATTGAAATGACCAGATCAATACCAATTGAAATGACTAGACAAATGCAAATTTATTCATTTAGCTGAAGGTTGTGTTAATAAACATATTAACAGTTAATAAGCTAACTTGGGCACTGTTCTCAGCAACGCCTGCAGATGTCTTAAAGTCTTGCCCGGGATTAGCTGAATGGACCGATTGATCGAAATAAGGTGACATGTCGTTTGTTGCTGCACCAGTGTAAATGTGGTGGGGCTGGCTGACTAATTGATAGTGGCCTCCTCCTCCCCCTCCTGGTTCGTTCGCTTGCTGGGTTGTCGATTGGCTTGTCGATCCAGTCTGAATGTTTATGGATGCAGGCTGAAACATATCAAGGCCTACAGCAGAAAAAAGTTTTCATTGACTTGTAAGTTTCGTAAATTTAAACGTTTTCATGAAATCAACCTTATAACACGCCATTCGAAAAAGTAAATTGAAAAAAGTTTCAGCAATTTTGCTAATTTAAAAATACAAGTAACGCCGTGCGGTTAATAAAAAAAATAGATTAATATTCAAATCAGACCTTATTCACCGAAATATTACAGCTTGAAAACTGATTAAGTGTTTTTTTTACCGATATATAAATTTTTTAACGAACTAAATTTTGTTTATTGCGACTGCACTCCCATCATCAATATTGCTCTGGTTTACTTTTCTTAATAACGTTCGTATGAACATGGAAAGACATTCAACTATATATATATATATATATATATATATATATAGTTAGAAGACTTTTTCAACTTTGAAACTAAATAATGTACATACATATATATATATATATATATATAACCTGTACATTTATAAGGTAAGTGCGCTTCCTAAGCATGCTATATTTGTGAGTCTCTGTATGCAGGACATAGGGTGATATAGGGAAAGATGAATATATAAAAGTGTATTTTATTAAGCAATATTAGTTGCACGTACCTATTAAGTTTATTTAATGTTATTCAATAATAAGCACAAGTTTCGAACAACAAAATTGTACATTCAGTGCAATACACAGGAAAACTAGAGAAATGTACGCCAAAGTAAGCAACAGCATGTAAAAAGATGTTTGTAAAATAATTTTCCAACAGCCAAGCTTTGCAAGTTGTTTTGTGAGCCTGAATAAAGCCAACTTTGTATCGATGATGATGTTATTGTTTTTAACTTACTGTTTTTGCTAACGTCAACGGTGATAATATGTTTCCTTCAAAAATCCCTATCGCTATATTATAAAATCTTTTTTTATGCAGTCGTTAACGTCAAGAATGATATGATATTGTGATTTATTTTTAATTAATGTTGTCACAAGTTAGAAGGTTTTTTCAACGTTGAAACTGAAAATTTTCTCACTTTGATTCTCGCTAATGACATTTTCGTTTGACATTATAACAATTTTTCTAGGTTTAATTTTACCATCTTACGTAAACTTTGTATAAATTTTCAATTGCGATATTTATGCATGTTTCATTTGAAGTTATTGAACAATACGATGAACTGAAGAAATCAGAGTTATAATTTTTAATATTTGGTTGATTTCAATGAACAAAAATGTGAAACTGAACACATTTTGATGTCAGCTTATTATTATTTTTATAAGCGAATAATGAATTCTGGATTGCTAAAATTTGTATACTCATTTTATTATTGACTGCACACCTGTAATATTTCTGCTTGTATTATTAAATCACCGTACTGTAAAAGTATTTTTCAATATTCTGGTCAGTTATAAATTTTGCTAAACGTTTTTATTAACAATCATTGTGGCAGTCTAGTTGTTTGAATTGTTCAACCTGTTCTACTGTTCCACACAGCTAATTTTCTTTCTTTGGAAGTTGGTTAATTTTTTCAAATAAAAAACTGAGATGTGATAATAAGCTAGGGGTTCAGTTTCACCAGTACCGCCTATACGGGAGCAGGGAAAGGCAATTGCCCAGAGGCCCGACAAGTTTTAGGGGCCCGGGGTGGGCTTGCCAATCAACTTTTTAAAATATTATTATCAGCAATAAAAATTGTATTATTTAGGTTTTTTTAAATTGAACTTTATTACAATCAGGTTAAACCAGCATCCGTAGATTGCCGTATTTAGTTCTATTTTTATTATTTTCGTATGGTATTTTCAATATTATTTATGATGAAAGTCAACATGCCAGAAGAAAGTGCGCGACATGAAGTGGATGATGATTTTAAAGTAAACGTTTCCTATAAACTTAAAAAGATGAGAGACAAAATAAAAGACTTAAAGTTGAACAAAACAAGTTGAATCGCTTGGAATAGAAGAAAGTTGGAAAACGTTTTTGAACTTTATGAAACAAATTTATAAAGATACGATTCCTCTAAGACAGTGGTAACGAGGGATTCCAGAAGCAAGAGGAAAGCTAAAAACAAGAGGAAAACTAAAAATATTGAAAAAAAAAACTAAAAAAATAAGGCATAAAAAATTTCAGCTTTATAGGGAGTACTCCTTAAATAAACCTGAAAATGAAGATATAACACCAGACGCAGACAATTACTTGAAAATTACAAAAACCAAAGAAATGAATCTTTGTATGTGAATAAAAAAGCCACTTGGACTTTTGAAAAAACATAGCGGAAAATATAAAAACAGAAAGCAAAGGTTTTTATAGTCATGTAAGAAAGAAACAAAAACGGAAAGATGAAGTGGACCCGCTCAGAAATGGAAAAAACATGATAGGGGAGACCAAGGCTGAAGCTAAGGAGCTGTTAAACAATTATTACGGTTCTATATTCACACATGAAAAAGAAGAAAAAATACCAGTAGCTAAATATAATTCTAACTGGAACATTTTTGGCAAGGAGTTCAGAATTACAGAAACGGAAGTTGTATTTGAACTTGGACAATTGAAGAAGGACAAAAGTCCAGGAATTAATGAGTTTTTTAGAGGTGGATATGGGAATGGGAAATAGGAGATATTCATGGAAACCATGGGAATTCTCGCGGGAATGAAAGTTTTTTGTAAAACATTTTTAGAGAAAAAGGAATGACTTGATGGGAGATGAGAATGACTAGCGGGAATGGGATTTTTTTACCGAATGCTACAATTTTTTTTATTATCCACTTTTATGTCTATGTTTTTGAAAAATTAAAATGAAATTCGGTTTACTTTTACGGTTTTCCCGTCTTTTAGAGTTTTATGATTCATCTGATCGCATTACCGTGTTTAAATGTATTTTAATTGTGGAAAATAACTTTTGTAAAAATATGACTTCAAAAATTGATATCCAACTTCTTATAAATAAAAACAGTAAACAACTGAATTATTATGTTGAAAAAGATACTGTCCCAGTTACATTTTGGAAAAAAACTTGTATTTCCTTTATTGTATGACTGACGTAGCTTGTAAAATTTTTTGCATACCAGCAACTTCATCTACTACTGAACGTGTATTCAGCATTTCAGATTGAATATTGGAGAAAAGAAGAACTAAATTATCAGCGAACAGTGTTAATAATTAGTTATTTTCACATAGTAACGCTTAATTGTATAATTATAACATATTTCTTAATAAAAAATTTTGACTGCTTATTTTGGTCTTGTGTACATTTTTATAAGAAAAAATGGTGTTACTGAGCGGGATGGTTGGGAGGAAAATGGGAAAGGGAAGAAAATGAAATTGGTCGATGAAATTCATGAGAGATTGGAGAAAAGCGAGAATGCTTTGATGGGAATGGAAAGGAATGAAAAAGCCATTCCCGTCGACCGCTAGCTTATCTCAAATTCTTGAAAGAAGTCAGAATGGAAATAAGTCAGGCTTTGACAACCATAACCATATTTAACATTTCTCTTTCATCTGGAAAGATAACATCCGACTGTACCATTTATTTTCACGTATTTTAACATGTAAAACTTAATATGCAGGCATTAAAATAAACAAATTTGCATTTTTTGCAAGTATATGTATTTTGCCATGCAATTTAACTTCCATGCATTTTTTATTGACGCATTTGAACAAGTATTTTAAATTTATTGTAGTAAATTTTCCAACAATTTAGATATGAAATTTTGATTAAAAATTTTAAATTATGTAGTGCTATTATAAATTTACTTTTTCACTTATTTATTTTGTATTTGCATACGAGTTCATCCAATTCATCAAGTTACACCAGTTACACCGAGTTATACTAGTTATATGAAATATATGAGTTATTCAAGTTCTATCGAGTTATACAAGTTCATCAAGTTCAGCCAGTTACACCGAGTTATATGAAATATACGAGTTTATCAAGTTATACGAGTTTATCAAGTTTTATCGAGTTATTTGAGTTATATCGAGTTATACGAGTCATACGAGTTAAACGAGTCTATCGAGTTCATCGAGATCACTGAGTTATATCGAGTAATATCGAATTATACGAGTTTTATGGAGTTATACAAGTTAAACGAGTCTATCGATTTCATCAAGTTCATCGAGTTATACGAGTGATACGAATTCATCGAATTTTTTCGAGTTTTATTGAGTTAGAGCGAGTTTTATCAAATTATGTCAAATTATACGAGTTCATCGAGTTCTATCGAGTTCTCTCGTGTTCTATCGAAATATATCGAGTTCAATCGAGTTTTATTGAGTTATATGGAGTTAAACTAGTCTATCTAGTTATATCGAGTTATATTAGTTCATCGAGTTAAACGAGTTTATTGAGTTCTTTCGAGTTAAATCGAGTTATACGAATTCATCGAGTTCTGTCGAGATATATTGAGTTCTATCGAGTTTTAAGAGTTTATCGAGTTATATGAGTTATACTAGTCCATCGAGTTATACGAGTTCATCGAGTTATATCGAGTTCTGTCGAATTATATCGAGTTATACAAGTTATACGAGTTTATCGTTGCTAGCTTTCTTGACGTTAAGCCGATTTGGTTGATTTCACACGATTAAATTAAATTATAGATTTGTATTCGGAATTTTTATACATTCAAATGAAATTATCACTTTGATTTTTGCTTATGTCATATATATGAATTTACGGACTTGTTATCACTTTAGTAACTAAAGTTTAGTTGTGTTATGGCGAAATGGCGAGCTCCAGGCCGGTCGTTATTTTCGAGCTCCCGTATTTTTTGATGAACAACTTAGAAACAATTAAGGACGAAATTTTAAATACAGGTGAATTTTATTCATTCGAAGATATTAGTAATTCATTAGAGTTGTTTAAAAGTGATTTTGAATGGTTAAATACTGAAAAAACTGATAAATTGACTTCACGTGGTTCGTCGAGAAAATGTAGGTTAATGGAAAATCGGCTGTATCATTGTTTTGAAAATTATTAAATTTTATAATTTTCTGGACAAAGGTTCAATTTGCGTTAGCTCATGTCGAGCGCAAAGTCCTATAATTGATAATTTGATTAAAATACATTTTGATTACATAATAAAAGATTTTAAAAAAATTAATGACAATTTGCTAAACGAATTTGCAAAAGTTATTGAAAGAAATAATGCTGAAATGGCGGCATTAAAGTTGAAGGATTGAAAGAAAAACCCCCTGAAAGATTATGTACACATTAAAATTTTCATAAATTTTTATGTAAATTAAAAAATTAAATTATAATGTGGGTCATCAGCCACATTGGAATTGAAGGAAATAAAAAGGTAGATCAGATGCTCAAGCTCATTCGATGCCAATATCTAGAGTTCCAATTCCGTCCAGTAATTTAAAAAATTTAATAAACAATCTTATTGTTGAAAAATGGCAACAAGAGTGGAATAAGACATCAAATTTCCTAAAATTAAGTATGCCATCATTAAATAAAAAGTTCAATAATAGTTATTTGAATCGTCATCTTCAGTCTGTTATCAATGGATTAAAAATATGAAACTCAGCAATCACAACAAAACAAAGCTACTTCATTGTGCAAGCCTGCGACAAAAAAACTATCTATTCAGCATATATTAACCGAATGTGAAAAATACGGTCAGATCGAAGGAAACTCGGGGTTCCATCCAATGTAGAATTGCACTTCCAGAATAGAAGTCAGGGAGTCTTGATTTAATTTGTTGAGGAGATAGATTTGATCAACAGAATTTGAAATTTTCTAGATGTCACAACAAAATAATCAGTTTCTAAAGATCCAGTGGCGTTAAAATAGCCGAATTGTGCTGAAATGCCGTTAAACTGCAAAAAAAGACTTGCTTTTCACAACAGTATCTAGAAAAACAAAGCAGTCTCGAATTGTAAGTGATAATAATATTAATAATAAAAGTACAATCGTAGATAAACAAACTTTAGCAAATTCCCTTCATCATAAAATTGTCGGAAAAATCAGAATCTCAAAAATTAAAGAAGGCAAATAAAATTTGAAAATTTTACTTTTATCTCGGCAATCTTTTCTAATGTACCAGAAAGAAAGTCATAGACGAGCTGAAAAGCAACAACATTAATATTTTATCTTGTAATCCTGTGTTTAAAAAGCCGCAAGATGATAGTAAGAAACCAAACGATAGCCCAAAATCCATGTCATTTCTTGTGTTTGTTGAAAAAAGCGATCTCGATAGAATTAGAAACCCTGATATCTGGCCGTCAGGTGTCATCATCCAACGAGACTGGATCTTCAACAAACCTGTTACCGAGAAAGCTAGCAATGGATGAAAATTTTATCATCAATTCGTTATCAGAACTAGATTATGAAATGGGCAATTTTTTTAATTTTTATGTAAGTCTGATTCTTATTATATACATGATATAAACAATATTTTTAACCTCACTATGTGAAGTTAGTGATATTGAAATATTATCAACAGACACTCATGTAAGTTTAAGCATTATAGCATTATAGTTTAAGCATGTAAGTTTATAGCAGTTACAGAGACTTGGCTGAATAACGATAATGCAGATTTAGTTTCACTACCTAGTTATGATTTCATTTATGAAAATAGAAACCATAGATCTCATGGTGGAGGCGCTGGTTTTTTATCAAGAAAAAATTATCTTTTACTTCACTTGATAATTTGTGATTTGGAACAGACAATTTGGATTTTTAAATAATGGCAGTCGAACTAATTTCTAAAAGGTTATCAAACATTATTGTCTTTGTTGTTTATAGGACTTCTAACATCAACCCCAATCTATTTATTGATCATATTGTTTCCGTTCTCCGTTTCCGTCCAGTTTAATTTAGCCACATAATCTTTTCTTTTGTCTAATACACCACATAAATTTTGTGATTTTTCTAAACGTTATATTGATGCCTTACATAAATCTTTTGCCAGCTTTGACTGGAGCGTAGTTTTAGATCACGATGATGTAAACAAATTTTTTCACGTTTTTGAAAATTTATCAAAACAAAATATTTGAACACTGTCCTTTGATTGAACATAATTTACGAATTCTTTAAAAAAACGCCCATCGTTGACAGTTGGAATTTTGACATCTGCTAAGATGAAAATAAATTGTATTCTGGTTACTTAAAAAATCCTACCGCTTCCAATAAATTAGCATATTATAAATATAAAAATTCTTTTACTTCCGTTAAGCGTCTTGCTGAAAAGAAATATATGAAAAAGAATTTGAAATTAATAAAAATAATTTAGAACAAAATTGGTCTATTAGAATATTAATCAATAAATAAAAACTTCAAATCAAAATTTCCTAAATTAATTAATATAAATGACTAACACATTTGAAATATGTGAGGCTTTTAATAAAACATTTTCAGTACAATGCAGCTTTAAAAATAAAATTATTACAAATAATTTCATGAAATTTTTACGCCCTTATAATAGTTACAATTTTTCTCTGCAACACGTCACAAAAGAAGAAACTAAAAATATAATAAATATTATAATAAATATATTAAAAAAGTACACATCCCATTTTTTAGTTAAATAATGTCATCAACTATTGTTCTTCTCAAACATTGTATAAATCATTAGCTAGAGGTATATTTCCAGATTGTTTAAAAATATCAAAAGTTTTTTCTCTATATAAAAGTGATAATCTTTCGAACGATCGTCCAATATTTATAATTTCAACGTTTTCCAAAATAATTGAAAAAACAGTTCATTTGCATATATCAACTTTTTTCGACAAATATCATCTCATTAATCAAAATCAATATGGTTTTCGGAAAAACAGCTCTACCGAGTTAGCCAATTTAGATTTGCAACAATACGTTATGGAAAATATTGATTCCAAATTACATGGTATAGGTGTTTTTATTGATATCGCCTAGGCATTTGACACGGTTCATCACGATGTTTTATTAACTAAATTGTTTAATGCGGGTTTCAGAGATGTTGCACATGATTGGTTTAGCTGTTATTTATCTGAAAAGTCCCAGTATGTGTCTGTTAGCTATTGTAGGTCATCTCTGTCTCCAATTGAATGTGGCGTTCCCTAAGGATCTATCTTGAGGCCATTGTAATTCATCTTTTTAATAAACGATTTAGTTTTTTCGTCACCTATGTTAAAATTTAGATTGTAAGCAGATGACAAGATTATTCTGGCAGGAGAGAAATCTCTGCATGAATTAGTAAATTTCCTGAACAATGAACTTCAAAAGGTTCCAGTATGGATGACCTCAAATAGATTAAATATCAATGTCTAGAAATCAAAATGTATTTTTTTGGACACAAAATAAGCACTAACTTGGTTTATTTTGATGTTTTTATTGATAAGGTGAAAGTGCCAAAAACATCTTCTTTCAAATTTTTAGGTGTAGAGATTACAGATAACTTAAGTTAGAATGATCGTATAATTGAAATTTCTAAAAAAAAGTTTTTAAAGGGTTCTATGTATTTTACACAAAATTAAATCAATTGTATCAAACAGAATTATTATTAATTTATATTATACAATAATTTATTCATATTTTATATAATGTTTAATTGTGTGGGGTAAAAATATTACGTACCATATAAGCATACTTGATAAATGTCAAAATCGTTTTATATGAATTCTTTATAGACTACCTTATCACTCTCTTGACTCATATTTTTTTAAATGTCTAAAATTTTATCAATTCATAACATCTAAATTTTCAGAATTTTGATATTTTTATATAGCATGATTATCTAAAATAAATCTCAACATTTTAACAAATATTTAATTAAATTCTCAGCAATAACGCAAAAGCAAACAAGACATACCACTGATTTTTGAGTTCCAAACTTTAAAACTGTAATTTTTTCTCACTCAGTCTATTTATGGTATCAAACTTTGGTTATTTCTGCCACCTAATGTTATAAGTTAATGTATTTAAATTCTAGGAACACAATTTAAAAAATTTGAAGCGTTGAAGCGAATGTTTCTGCATATATACAGAATTTTATCTTTACGAAGCAGGAAATTTTGATAAGAGTGACATCTGTAGAAATGATAAGAGACCTATTTTGAGCATATTTTTCATATTTTAGTTAAATTTATTATGAATTGATTGATGAGAATTATCACTTATGGAACGCTTTTCAACGTCGTCTCCCGTTAACGTCAATCAAATATTTTCTTTATTTAAATTTCTTTTATTCTAACACCCATGTTAATAGTTTTTTTTTAAATTTTTGGCCTAAATATGCTGGTGTATTTATTTATTTATTACAATTTTTCCTTTAAAATTTTCAAAGGTAAGTACACGTGTGATGGGTACGTGTTTCTCTTTGCAATCAAATCTTGTTACAGCAGTAATTGTGCCGCATACTTTACCGTTACCCCATATCGTCGACTGATTTTATTTGTAAAATTTTAAAAATTTTGCCTAATAAACAGACGATATTTTTTTATGAAAAATTTATTCCATGCATATACTTGATGAATTCATTATGAATTTACATGAAGAAATGAAAAATTCATAATCTGGTAGTCAAATAATGCACCACCGTGTCTAAACACCAGTGAGGTCAAAAGGTCATTAAGGGTATTAATATTTAGGGTAGGCCTGGGAGTCAAGCCAGTCGTTGTAGGCATAAATTCTGGTGTAAACTGATGGCATTGTGGTGAGGCAGCTGGATGACCCCCACGACGTTGCACCAACCAGTTTCCACTTTTTCGGCGACTCCTCACAAACAAGTGGTCCACCCGAGTCTCCCTAAAAACGTTGTTTGAATGTTTATTATTAATTATTGTTGTTTATATTTGTTATTATTATTATCAATATTTATTTTTAGAAATATCAACGACACACAGTACACGTGAATGCACACACACGTTGCATGTGACAGACGGGGATCGTCTTGCATCCGATCACGGTTACCTCAGCAGCAGAACCAGGCGCCTTAACCATTACACCATGTAAGAAAATTGATTTTGTTCACTACTACTAACATTACAACCGCCAGATGAAAAATCTTCGAGATCGAATAGGCAGATATGTTTGTCTGTTATTCGGTTGCCCCACTTCGTCTGACACTCTGACGTGGTTATAACGTTCATCTTTGCCTCCTGGAGATCTACCGGCAAAGGTCCACCGTCTGTAGAGTCATCAAACTCCAAAATGAAATTTCAATTACAGTCAAACCTCGATTTAACAAACTTTTATACAACGAAAATTTCTATATAACAAATTTATTTTCTGTAAACATCGAGTTCGTTGTACGAAGGTTCGACTGTATATTCAAAAAATATTTGAAAATTAATTTTGAAAAGTTTTACTACACACACCTCTCGTTCTGCCCCAACCGGTGATGTAGCAGTTCTTGCCGATGTGGTCAGATAACTTGGTTCTCTCGATGTATTTGATGGTCATGTTTGCTGAACTGGTTTCATTGATTGTCTCCGACCATGCAATGTAGGCGATATCATTAGGGTATCCAAAATCACTGTTTCCGCTGTAGTTCGGGTGCTTACATTTTAACAATACATATATCAAATTTTTTTCATTTGATAAACTATTTTTTTTTAAATTTGAATTGTTTACCCTTGTAGCGTTTTTCAAAGTTCTCTGGACGCAATCAGTACAGTAAAATTTGTTCACGTTAGTCCCTGCAATAATCTTGTACGATGATCTTTGAAAAAAAACAATATCAAATATTTCAAAATATTCGAATATTGATAATAATTAATTTTAAAAAATAAAAATTGTAAAATATTCCTACGGGGTCCTTCCAACACAATGGGCAGCCGTGACGCCCCACGTTCCGGCAACAATGGAGCCCCCACAATTGAAACTGGTACCGACATACAACGCCAGTTGCCAAGGCCACTCCCCCTTGTCGGCCTTCGTCCCCCCAATGATATGAGACTCGGGAGCCCCGTAAACCCCAGCACCAAAAACTACCAACAAATTGAGAAAATTCAGAAGTTTCATTTTTAATATTTAATTTGCACTAGCAAATGGAGATGAATTCGTTGAGTTTGTTCTCCAATTTATACAAAATTTTATCTTCTGAATAAAGGAAATTTTTGACAAAATGTCATCCGTTTGATTTATAAAAAAAACCTCTTAACGTCAATCATTGCCATCTGTTCCTTCATTACGATGTAACTATTTTTCTCTCTCTTTCACTCTGATGTAACATGAAATGTTCTTGCAATGTAAAACTAATTCATATCAATTTAATCATGCTTATCTATAGTAGAAACTAATCAAAAGTTTATCTTATGATTAACAGACATGTGTAACTGTCAAATTTTTGCGCTACAGAATTTTACCCATCTGCTGTTTTTTTCATTCTTGAAATGTTTAAAAATCACTTCAATACTTATCTCAAAGTTACAAAATTGACTAAGCCTGATCTTGCTAAGATCGCCGTCAAGTGATTCGACATTACGAGTTGTTGACATCGCTTTCATTTTAATAGCAGAATTGACAAATTTTACAATAACAGGACGTGGGGTACCTACTTCGGCAACTCTACAATAATATCTGTAAGTTTTTAAGATATTCTCAGTTTTGATAAAATCGCCTGTTAGAACCGACAAAACAGTGTTCTTATCCTTGCCATCAGTCTCGGCAAGATTAAAAATGACAATGTTGTTTTTTTCCTTCTCGTCATTAGTAACATCAAGGGTTTGCTTAACAGAGTCAATACCCCTTTTGACAATACCAGACTATGACTCTTTGACTTCCGCTTTGAAAAGCTTTGAGATCATTTCTCGAATAAATCAAGTTCATTACATTGGCCGTTAAAACTGACGGTGTGATTCAAAGCAGAAAATTTAAAAAAAGCAGGATGACCATAATAGAATTTATATAAAATTCATCTAGTATGGCCATTTAAACAGAAATGTTCTAAATTCGTACAAAAATTTTCAGCAAATAATAAAAGAAATTTTCCTAAATAATCAATGAGAGGCATGTTAGATGTTAGTTTGTTGAAGGCGACGAATAATTGATTGTTGTGTGCCTGCTTCCAGATGATTACCCTGAAAGCCCTCTTCATCGGCATCTTGACAGAGTTGGTGGTCGTTTGATACGCACCGGCCCAAACAACGTTGCAGTACGTGACGTGAGGCAGACAGATGGCGTTGTAGATCATGTTAAGGCATTTTTTCAGAAGATAAAATTTTATCCTTTTCATCTTCCAATAGATATACTAACTTGTTTGAAATTTAATTGACATGGGGTTTGAAAGTTAACTTTTGATCTAATGAAATGCCTAAAAATTTCACTGTTTTGCTCTTGCTCTCGACTATTTCTTGGTTTTTGACTATCACTTTATATGGTTCTCTATAATTTAGATATAGCACTGGTCCAAAAACAATCAATTGTGTTTTTGAAGTGTTTAGAGTTTATTGCTGTTGAGCCAATTGACATCGTGTTTTTTTCAGCGTTGGTTTTATCAATAACATTATCAAGGTTTTTCCGCTACCGAAAATGTTGGTGTCGTCAGCAAAGCAAATGTAATCAAAGCAGTCGGTTGCATTTAGGAGATCATTGATGAAGATGATGAACAGCAGTGGTCCCAAAATGCTTCCCTGAGGAACACCATTGTGCTGTAATGTTGAATTTTCATTTCCCCAACAAACATACTAATTTCTTTTAGACAGATAACTCTTAAACCATTTCAAAGTCGTACCTCTTATACCGTAGTGCTCAAGCTTGCTTAGTAAGATGACGTGGTCGATATAGTCAAATGCCTTCGACAGATCGAGACATGTTTGTACAATGAAATGTTTTTTCTCCACAGGATTACCAATTTTTATTATCAGTTCGACAATGGTCAGTTCTGTTGAGTGTTTCTCTCAAAACCCAAACTGGTAACATGAAAAGGTATTATTTTTTTGTAAAAACGAAAAAATTCTCCTGTGCATAATTTTTTTAATTATTTTTAAAAATGCTGGTACAAGTGAGATTTGTCAGAAATTAGAAACATCATTCTCACCGGTAACTTTCTGTTTTGATATGATTTTAGATATTTTGAGGCAGCTTGGAAAAACATCGGTTGTGAAGGAAAAGTTGATGATGTGTTCGAGGACTTGAGAGGTGGAATAAATTGTTGATATTACAACTTTTGTTGGAATATCATTCCATCTGCTGGACGACTTTGGTATCAGCAATTTGGTTGAGAAAATTGTCTCATCTGCAGTTGCGTGGAGACAAAAAAAGGAATTTTTCCAATTTTTTTAACAAAATAAAAATAAATGCTTATCTAGGGTTAACTCCCATAAAACAATAAATAACAAAATATAGACATATATTATTAGAATAAATTTGTCTCTTAAATACCTCATTGTTTTTAAATTTTCCAAAATAAAAATAAAAAAAACATTAATACATTTAACCAAAACAATTGTAAAATGTTCTCAACTTCTTTCTAAATTTTGTTAAATTATTAATTGATCTTAAATATTGTGGCAGATTATTCCATTTATATGGTGCATAATAACAAAAGTTCTTAGATGTTATTTTATTTAAATTCATTGATGGCTTAATTGTAATAGTATTGTTATGTCAATCCTACCTAGGGTTAGCTATAGTTTTAATTGTATTAATTAACATTATATCAGTTGTAGATGTTATATTGTTGGTTATTTTAAATGTTAATAGAGATGAGTTATAGGAATTTATTTCAAAAATTGACAAAATATTATTATTAATTAATAAATTGTAATCGGAGCGTGTATAATCTGTTTCGAATAGAAAATTAATTGTCTTTTTTTGTGCGCTATATAGTTTGCTAAGTGTTGAAAAGTTTGTATTACCCCATATTAAGTTACCATAGCAAAAATGACTAAAAATTAATGATTGGTAAAGTCGTCTTTAGTATTATCATTTAAAAAAATTTATTCTTATCATTATGCCAAAACTTATATTAATTTTTGTTAGGATGAGTTCGATATGGTCATTAAAATTAAGTTTATGGTCAAAATATTACAATTCACTTAACTTAGATTAGACTCCATTTTATCAGCCGAGTCAGCTCCACTAATTTCAAGACAACACGATTTGATATCGAATTAGGAAAGAAGAAAACATCACACGGAAGATAATGACAAAATAGATTGGAATAGAAATAAAGCCAACCAATCGCTCCCAGTTACAAATTTGAACTCCATAATCTGCCGAACGTCAGCCGCATCTCACGTTAAATATTTCAGAACGATGAGATGACGATGATGAGAGTAAATACTTACAATCATGTGACGCTGACGACAATGAATTTGATGATGGTGGTGGTAATGAATCCAATAAATCATCATCATCTTCTCAATCATCTTCTCGATCTTCATTATCATCGTCGTCTTTGATGTGGCAGGTATTATAGCCTCCCAAACCAAAAAACACAAATCTGTTGGGTTGCGACGTTTTCCTAAGTTTGGCTTACGCTAAAGGCGTATTCATCTTCATTTTTATGGCGATCTTGTCGATAATTATGCCAAAGATTGCCAAAATGTCAAGAATAAAGTAAACATTTCCAAAAATATATTCCAAAATCGTTAAAAACCAATTTATCATTTACATTGCAAGACGAGCCTATGTGCATATCTAGTTGGTGTGAACGTTTGTGTTTTTATAATGAAACAAATTATTATTTGAAAACGTATTACTACTACTACTACTACTACTACTACTACTACTACTACTACTACTACTACTACTACTACTACTACTACTACTACTACTACTACTACTACTACTACTACTACTATTACTACTACTACTACTATACTACAACAACAAATACTACTACTACTACTACTGCCGCTCCTGCTACAACTGCTACTGCTACTACTACTCACTACAACTACTACTACATAGCTCTAACCGAAATATATATGGTGTAAACGTTCTTTTTCGTTCTAAAGCAAATTATTATTTAAAAATGTTTCCTTACTAGTCTCCAGCCGTAATGACCATGACCTTCCTAACACTAGATAGATTATCGTCTCTAGAAATGTTTCTGAAACAGTGGTTGGAACCCATGGGAGTTCTTCTGGGCGTCAGTAAACAGGCAGCCCACCACAGCCTGGATTACATAATTAGGTCGTCTGCTGTCCTCTTTAGGGAGGATGTAGTCAGGAGGCTGGATGTGCATCTGGTTTTCAATAGAGACGTTAGTAGAGCTAGTGTTAATGATGATTGTAATGATGATGATGATTGTGATGATGAGGAGGAGGATTGTGATGATGATGATGATTGTGATGATGATGATAAGGATGAAGAGAAGGATTGTGATGATGATGATGATTGTGGTGATGATGATGATGAGGATGAAGAGAAGGATTGTGATGATGATTTTTGATGCTGTATGACAAGTTTTTAAAAATGTCTCCACGTTTCTGCGTCAGGTGTACATGTCAAGTAAACATTATATTTATATGAACAAAAATCTGTTGAAATAACATGAAATGTCTTGTCGAAGTTGCATTGCTTATGAAGAAAAAACATTTCTAAAGTACCAAACTCACAGTTTACCAATTAGTATTGTTGATGACGATTGTTGTGATGATGATGATGACGATGGCTATGGTAGTGATGATGACGATGGTTGTGACGATGATGATGACTATAATAGTTATGATGATGATGATGATGACGATGGTTGTGATGACGGAGATGACGATGACCAAAATCGCAATGTGTAAAGTTTCCTCACAAATTAATCAGAATAAAATAAAAATCTTCCATTTTACTAGGGCCACAATCCTATAAACTACATGAGGAATGTCCTGTAAAGCAGCACAAACACAGTTCAACGGATTTTATTAGTTTATGTTGATGACAGTGATGATGACAAACTGCAATAAACGACATTCCTCGTGGTGTTTAGTGAGTTATGTCCTTAGCTGAATGATTAACTTTTTATTCTGATTTTCATTTGTATCTTTTTTATTTTATATGCTGCCAGCATTCAAGTCGATGATATATCTAGACGAAATGACGTTTCCAAAGAATAAAAGTCAACTTATCGAATTGGTTGAAAAAGAGAAAAAGACTCACTGCATGGATATGAGTGATTAAATTAGTTATATTTATTTTAGTTATGTGTATCAGATTTTCTTATTATCATTTGTCGATAAATATTTTAATAAATGCTGATACAAACCACTATGCCAAATTGGTAAATGGATAAGCATGTTTTTATATAATGTACCTAAACATATGGCTTCCATTTTCGTCTGGAGCTGATCAGTTCAAGGTATGAATTGACATTTCAACTATTAAATTAGCTATTATTTCTTATTACAGTTGGCAACAACAAACGTTATTGGTCTAATCCTAATATTTTATCATGAGTTTAGAAATGTATCATTCACCATCGTAAGTGTTTTCTGATATAATTTGAAGATTAAATTCTGAGCTTTTAAAAAATTGAAAACTTATTGAACATTTTTTGACTTATCATGCCTAACATCAAATAGGAAGCTTTGAAATGGGCAACCGCTAAATTTTATCATCAGGAAGTATTAAAAATATAAACTACCTAATACTTTTGCTAATACTTATTTTTAAAAGGTGAAAAGAAAGCAAAATTTATTTCTGCTTTTACTTTCACTAATTATTTACTTTCAGATCCAATTGAAATATGAATAATTCTCAACGCAATTTGTAAAATAGTTAATTGAATTGGAATTAATTATAGTCTTGTTAGGATATTTTATTGATTTCTGAAACAGTCAATTCCATTATCTTAAATTAATTCTCTCTCTCTCTCTCTCTCTCTCTCTCTCTCTTAATTAATTTTCAAAAATTTCAACGCATTTCGCATTTTGCGTATTTCCATACTGACTCTTCTTGACAGCCTTTGACTGTGTTGATAATGCAACTCCTTAAGCTATGGCATTTCTGGTTTTGTATTAGATTGGTTGAGATCATACTTGTCTGATCGATCACAGCAGATTTTTTGACGGTGCCATGTCAAAAACTAGCCGATCACAGCAGATTTTTTTGACGGTGCCATGTCAAAAACTAGCCGTGTCACAGCAGGGGTTCCGTCATGGGACCACTGCTGTTGACATTGTACACGGCGGACGTCCTAAATATTATTAATTATTTCAATTTTAAAGGTTTTGCTTATGCCGACGACATACAAGTGGTTGATAGTTGTCCTGTCAGTGCCGTTAATGAATTAACTAAGCGACTTGGTATATGTCTTTCATTCATAGATGGCACAAAATAGCTTTAAAATGAACAAGTCTAAAACACAGTTTTTGCCGACTGGTACGTGGTTTGTCGCAGGTGGCTGTTCTAAGTATTAATCAGATATATTAATTGAACCCAAAGCCCCGGTTTACGATCGTCTTCTTGTTCTTGCTTCTTCTTAACTCGTGTTAAACACTCTTTTGCCCAATCAGCTTTTGCTTTTTCTGGCCCTTTTCTTTGGAACTCTCTACCGCATCTTAACCGTTAAACCATCTAGCTCTACAGTCATTTTTATAGATATCAAAACCATAAATGATGTAATTACCAAAAAAGAGCTTTGACATCTTCATCATTAATATGACCGTTAAAAAATCTTAAACTTCTAATAAGAATGAAACAATTGAATTATCATCATCACCTCTTTTTTTTATCACATTACAAATTTTTTTTATTTTACTATATTTTCATAGTCGAACAGTTTTGGTTTTGTCATGAGTTTTAAAAATATATACATAAATTATTTAGCTCATATTTTAATTATTTATTTTTATTTATTTATTCAACTAACTTCGAAAGTGTTTGCGGTAATTACTGTGAACGAATGTGGCTAATGTATCTACGCTACGAAAGAATAGCTAAATAAAATAGAATACCCCAACAAAATTTTGAAGTTTGAATTTAAACGTCGATTTCTTAAATATTCAACACCATAAAATAAAATTTAAATTTAAACGTCTATTTCTTAAATATTCAACACCATAAAATAAAATTTTCAAATTTGAAAAGAATTTGTTTTTTTAACTGCCAATTAAACCATAATGTCAAAAGTTTGGAGAATAACTCCAGAATATTTAACGACTATTAAAAGCACGTTTATTGAGTAATAACTGAAGTAAAAATGTTAATTTCTGCAATGGCTATAGCATCAGGTCTGAAAATGGCATTCTCTGCCCTGACGACATACAAGTACCTTCCCCATGTCGGCTGTGTGTTGCAGTTGAAAGTTAACACTGATCCCGTTTTTAACAATGTGTTATTCTTGAAATGATAACACAACTGCCCGTCTTTCCCCAGACTCTTGTTAGTCTCACTCACAATTATTTTAATCTCTTGTAGATACTTTGAATCTGTGTTGTCGTGTAGTAAATTAGGGCATGTTCAATTTTTTGACCGGCAAATATGACATGACTTAATATTTAAGATTCGAAGAAACTCTAATAGAAAACGTACTCTAGTGGTCCTGACTGCTGGTGAGGACAACCTTCGAGATGGGCTCACTCTTCTGCAGATCAATCATCCACCAACCAAGACCGTCGTTAAGTTCCGGCTTACAATTTCCACATGCGATGGAATAAGTCACAGTATTCTTGTCAATGGCCAAACCAGCGTGAAAATTGTCAAATGTTCCTTTTTGATCGACATAATAATTCGACAGTTCTAGTTCGATCACTGGGTGAACTGTTCAAAACCAAATTTGGCAAGTGAATAGCGTACAAAATATAACTTTTCAACTGTCCACTATACTATACAAGAGTGGAGTCGATGCATATTTTACAATAGCTGTGATATTTAAAAAAAATGTTTTGGTTGCCTACCAGAACAATATTCGACCAGCAGCCAATGTTTATTTCATTGAATGTCTGCAATGTCACATCATATTTTGAACATAAAACAACCCAAAAAATTTTAAAACTTAAACTTCACTGTTTCAAAAAGATATTACAAAAAATTTCCCTACAAAACCTTCAACGGAGACCCACAGTTGAGTTGCAAAGAACAGGAACCATCCTGTGTAGATCTTCATCATTTTTGTCTGTTAAATTCACAAATTTAATTTCTTTATTTTTAAATTAGAAATTTCAAATGATAATTGTTATTGAAAAATACAACAAAATTCAAAACAGTTTTATTCAAGGTACTGGCTCTAAATTGAGTGTCACGCTTTATAGGGGGCAGTAAAAACAATTTAGGACACTTTGGGACATTTTGGGACAATAGGGGCGGAGCAAAATTTGTGGGACATTTGGTTTTGGTTTGCACTTTTCAATTTCTATCTTAAGCTAAGCAACATTTTGTAAGCACATTTTTACAAAAAAATGGTTATAACAAAATTTTACAAGTATTCAGGAATATGCTTCTCTAATGTGCTGTTTTGTTTTATTCACGAATTTAAATACGTTTCTGCATAGATTCATTGCCTTTGGCTGTAGTGGATTTGAATTTAAAAAAAACAATTTGCGATACAAATAATTTACATAGCATGTTTTTGAATGTTTGCAACTTCCATATGATAACTTTTCAGAGCAGAAATATGGAGTTGGGTAGAAAAATGTGAATCATAGATGACGATTGTGAATGGATAGATGGGTAAATACTTCAATACTCTCCATTCATAACAGGCTTTTTTATTTAAATGTTTGAAACGCATCTCTGGATAAAACTAATAGAGCGTCTGGCAGAGATGGGTAGTAATGAAATTTCAAGTAATGAAATTACGTAATTAAAATTACTTTTGTAATTTGTATCAAAATTGGTAATTTAGTAATTTCAAATTACATTTTTACAAAAAAATATAGTTTATATGTGAGTGAACAGATATACTTACACAAATTATTATTATTGAAAAAAATTTTTTTTAAATTCTAAAAAATTTTTAAATTCTAAAAACTTATTTGATTAAAAATTTCATTTGCTACTTTGAAGTTTTATGATCATATAGCTACGTCAAAGAAGTTTACTTCTGTGATGTTTAACGCTTCTTTTTACTCTCTTTCTTTCTTTCTTTCTTTCTTTCTTTCTTTCCTTCTTTCTTTTTTTCTTTCTTCAGTCGTTCATTAAACGATTGAACAAATTGTTGATCGAAAGAAAGTAAATTAATAAATGAATATAAAAATGGCATCAAAGAATATCAGCGCAAAGAAAAATCAATGTTTAAATAACTTCAAAAAAATTTTTCTTAATTTAATTGGCCCATTGTATTGTTAAGTTTGTGCCTCTAGATATATTGGTAAGATTGATGATTATAAAACTGTTGGAGTTCGTTTGATTCAGTTTTGTTTTGACATTCATTAACAATGGAAAGTTTAAATCAGGATAATAATGCTAATTTATCGGATTTCATTTTGGATGGAAAATACTTCACCATAAAGAGAAAAAAAATCGAGTTTTTTTTCAAAAATGGTTTGATGTAATTTAATTTTATGTAATTTAAAATTAGTAATTTGTAATTAGTAATTTGGCTTTTTTATTAAATGTAATTTGTAATGTATCGAAATTACAATATTTAGAGTATTTTGTAATTTGGATCGAAATTACAATATGGTGTGTAATTTGCCCATCTCTGGCGTCTGGTGAATTGGTTCGCAAAAAGTATTAGTTGTAGAAGTAGTAGTAGTAGCAGTATTGGTAGTAGTAATGGTATTAGTACTTGCTTTTTGGATCATTAACATTCAAAACATCTGCTAAATCGGTATGAAAAATTATTACTATTAGGTGGTAGTAGTAGTAATAGTATTATTAGCAAACCGTAAACAGTATACTATATTATTAGTAGTAGCAGTAGTAATAGTAGAAGTAGTAGTAGTAGTAGTAGCTGTAGGTAGTTGTAATAGCAGCAGTAGTAGATTCCATAGATTCGCCACTGGCAGCAGTAGCAGTAGTAGCAGTGGTGGTAAGTTCGAACGTAAATCATCTTATTAACATATTAAAATTCGATCGTTTGAAAACATTCTTTTTCATTTACGTATTTAATTTACATAATAGTAGTAGTAGTATTAGTAGTAGTAGTTGCTGTACTAGTAGTAGTAGTAGTTGCTGTTGTAGTAGTAGTAGTTGTTGTTGTTGTTGTAGTAGTAGTTGTTGTAGTAGCTGTTTTATTGAATTGAACGTTTGAAAACGAATATAATTTCAGTTCGAATATAAATCTCATTTAATCTTTTTTTGAATTGAAACTTATGAACCAAGATAACATCGATCTCATTTTTGACTTTGCCGTTATTTTTTTTATTACATAACAATTTTTTGGCCGAATAGAGGCAAAAATGTGGGCAGTTGTCCCCTACACACAGACTTGATGCTCTTTTTTTGTTTAGTTTCAGTCAATGATTTTTCTACATAAATTTAAAATGATTTATATAAGCAGATAGCAAATATGCTATCGGTGAATCGTATGTAGAAAAAACCATAAGCTAAGGGATCGTACGCCCAATGTTAAGGCGTTTCAAACGAGATTCACAAGTTGGAATTCCCGTGTACTAACGATTAATTATTTCATTTATTTATTCAGTTATTAATTAATAAATTTATTTATATATTATACGCCACTTGCTTCTGTATAATATATTTTGCACCATGGGAGGCCTATTTACCAATATACAACACTTTATTATGGGTTGAATGGGATGGAGATGTGGAATCCGTGGTCACACACGGACACATTGAGAAGGTGACGATGGAGGAAGTAGAGAAAGCAGTTAGAGAAATGAAACTAGGTAAGGCGACAGGGGTTTCGGAAGTGGCGGCGGAACATATAAAGACGAGTGGGGTGATAGGAATTGAAGTTATGATGAGAATTGCTAACAGTATGTTTGATGATAAAGGTATACCTGAGGATTGGCGACACAGTGTGTTGGTACCGTTGTATAAGGGCAAAGGAGATGTGAGAGACTGTGGGTCATACAGGGGTGTGAAATTGCTAGAGCATAGAATGAAGGTAGTGGAGAGGGTGCTGGAGAAGAGGTTGAGAAATATGGTGACAGTTAATGAAATGCAGTGTGGGTTTATGCCTGGTAGGGTAGGGGAACGGTGGATGCGTTGTTCATGGTGAGAATGTTGCAGGAAAATTATAGAAAGAAAAAACGAAGATTGTACATGTTTTTTGTAGATCTCGAAAGAGGCTTTTCATCGAGTACCGAGGAAGGTCATTAAATGGGCATTGAGAAAGAAAGGAGTGAATGAGAGACTTGTTAAAGCTGTGATGCAGCTGTATGAAGAGGCGAAGACAAAGGTGAGGGTCGGAAGGGGGATGTCGGACGCTTTTAGTGTTAAGGAAGGAGTGCATCAAGGATCAGTGTTATCACCGTTTCTGGTTGCAATTGTGATGGATGTTGTGTGTGGAAACATAATGGAGGGGTTGTTATTTGAAATTTTGTATGCAGATGATTTAGTCTTGATGGCTGATAGCATGGAAGAATTGCAGTTAAAATTTGACAGATGGAAAAGAAAGGGTTAAAAGTATATTGGTAAGACGAAGGTAATGGTGAATGGGGAAAGTGGGGAGCGAGTGATAAGTAAAATAGACCCTTGTGGGGTATGTGACAGGAGAGTGAAGGCTAACTCGGTATTGTGTATAGGAGGTCAGAAATGGGTGCATAAGAGATGTAGTGGTGTGAGGGGGGCACTGAAAAAAATGGAAGGCACGTTCAAATGTAAGAAATGTGTTCATGGTGTGATTAATAGGACGGACGAGTGGAGGTATTAAGAGTGGAATGCTTTGTTTATTTAGGGATTAAGCTGAACGCGGATGGAGGATGTTTGAGCGCTGTTACGGCTAGAGTTCGTGTGGGATGGATGAAATTTAGGGAACTTGGTGGGGTATTGTGTGGGAAGAAATGGTCAGTGATGATGAAAGAGAGGGTATATAAAGCATGTGTGAAGCAGCAATGGTATATGGTGGTGAAACTTGGGTGTTGAGGAGAGAGAGAGGAGAAAAGTGTACTGCAGAGGGCTGAAAGAGCTATGATGAGGATGATGTGTAGAATTAAAGTGAAAGATAGGAAGAGTAGTGCAGAGCTGATGTCGATGATGGGACTGAATGAGGACATTGTGACATTGATAAGGAGATCGAGATTGTGGTGGTATGGACATGTGTTGAGAAGAGATGAAAGAGTCGGGATTAGGCGAGCGTTGGAGTTCGAGGTTGAAGGAGTGGTAGGAAGGGGTCGTCTGCGATTGGGATGGAGAGAGCAGGTGGAGAAGGACAAGGTGAAAGCGGGGTTGCGTGATACTGAGGCGAGTGACAGATGTGAATGGCGTTGAGAGGTATTTCGGTTTCATCATAGGTAGCCAAACGGCAACCCCCGATCTCGGAGAAAATGTCGTCTAAACGTGTGTTGTTGTTGTTGTTGTTATGGGTTGAAGCAGGGATATGCAAAGAGCCTCTATTTTTTCAATTTTTAATTATTTTCGGTAATGTCGATTTTATTTTTTTAAATTTATACCAAATAAAAGTAATTAATTACCACATTGAATAACAATTTAAAAAAAATAAAATTTTAACATTTTAAATAAAAGCAATATTCCGAAATTAGTAAATATACGATCGTAACTTTTGACTCGAACGATAAAAATGCACAAAAACTGGCGTGATAAGCATTAAAGGTCACCAGCCTAATTTACCCTATACTAGCATTTAACTTTTTGTTAATTTATTGTCACCAGCCCGTCAAATTTCAAAAACTGTTAAATTTTTTAACATTTTGGCTCCCCCGTCAACGTCGTCAAGATCGCCACTGCTCATCCAAATCTTAAATACCCTCACACCCCTGCAGCTGTCTCCTTACAGAATCTCAAACCCTTTCCTCCTGGGAAGCTAACGCAATACCATGACGATGTAGCACTAGAACGCCCACACAGTTCGGAAAATGTTTTTTATTTGGAAGGCCACAAAACTTTTTTGTTCTATTGGATTTTTACAAGGGAGGCCTATTTGCCAATATACAACACTTTATTATGGGCTGAAGCAGGGATATGCAAAAAACCTCAATTTTTTCAACTTTTAATGTCGATTTTATTTTTTTAAATTTATAC